CCCACAGGCCTGGCCCAGCAGCCACAAGGACTGAGAGTATATGTATAAGTATTTGTTATCTCTTACCTTTGCAATGCTGCATTTTTACAGAGTAAAAGAGAATATACAGAGTCAATGTTTTACTTTAAATGTAAAACATCGACTCTGTGAATCTGTGTGTAAAGTTTGGGGTAAAGCCATTTTTGGCATTATGATTTTAGCTTTTAATTTTTAACAAAAGCTGCACTTTCCCTTCCACTTTGATTCCCTGAGAAACTATTGTTGGGATGTAGCTTTTTGTAAGTTATTTATTTTTATTTATTTTTGTTAGTGTTACCTTACAGATGCATTGGTTAAAAAAAAATAATTCAAATAGACAGGGTAGATCTTACTTAATTGTAAACATAGATTGTATATTTCTAATACCGAACCTTGAAAATCAAATACTATTAAACTTTCAACATCTTGTTTCAAAGGCATTTTTGTTTCAACTTGTTTACTTTTTTTCCTGTAGCTGAATTTTAGAATATTGTCACTTGTTTTGCCATCTGCATCACTGATATGTTCTCTCAGCAGAGAACAGCCAAATGATGACTCAACACACACAATGAAAAAGATGAGTCATTTCCCATCTGAACAGCAGAAATGACTTTCAACCACGAGCATTTGTTTATCAAATCTAGTGGGAGAAAAAAAAAAGAAAATTCTACGTTTTAAAGGTCCCGTAATGAAAAAAATAACATTAGAAATATTATATATTTTATACATAAGGTATATATAGTAATATACAATCAGTATAGTTTGTCCTGAAGCCTGTAAATGAGATTTACAAATGATAAAAAACTTTCACCTCCATCATTACCTTTCTCCACCTCTTTGCTAATGTGTGCTTAAAATGGTCTGTTTGCCCTTTATGATGTCATAAGGAGCAATAAGCTGACCATCGGTCAAGCTACGGCCTTTATTATATGTATTATTCCACCCTCCTAGCTGCTATCTTTACCAACCCAGTTTAGTTGTCATGTTTGCGGGTTTTGGTGGCCAGCCATGACAGGGGCGTGGAAGGACAACAGCATATGAGTCCTGAATAAGGAGATTTTGGTAAAGGCTGTGTGCCTAATCTAAGTTTTCCTGCATAAATGTTAAAAGCATGCTCTGGGGGCCTTGTTAATATTTTTTATTTTTAAATGTAGTATAATATGGGACCTCCTATCGTAGGAGGCAAAACAGCAAAAGAAGCTTAAGAAAATTGTTAACGTTTTATGTTTCCCAGTGTTAAATTGGAGAAAATGTGTCATTTAAAAGTTGAAATATCCACAGAAAAAAGCTTTAGATAAGCTTTGATGTTTGTAACTTAAATGCATCTGAATAAAATGGCCTGTACTTATATGGCGCTTTTTTAAGTCAGGAGACTTGACCAAAGCACTTTAAACTACATTCACTCACACACTGATGGTGGCAAGCTACATGGTAGCCACAGCTGCCCTGGAGCTCACTGACAGAAGCGAGGCTGCCATACACTGGTGCGACCGGGCCCTCTGACCACCATCAGTAGACAATGCAGGTGAAGTGTCTTTCCCAAGGACACAACACTGAAAGCTAGTGCCAGGGCTTCAACTGTCAACCTTTCGATTTCAGGATAAACTCCTACACCCGACGCCACTTTCGCCCTTAAACTTAGTAAAAAGCCACATCATGAGTAAGGATAGCCAGTACTGAGAACAAAAAGTACTTTTTGTCTTTAAACAAAGTTGGAATCCTAGACCTCAGTTTGTTATTTCTTTAGAAAACTTTGAACCAATCTGACTAATAATTTAACTTTATTGATCTCACATGAGAAATTTACCTCTGCAATTAACCCCTCCCCTTGGGGAGCAGTGGGCTGCCATTGTGCAGCACCAAGGGAGCAGTGTGGGGTTAAGGGTCTTGCTCAGGGAGCCAGAGTGGCAGTCTGTGGTAGTGGGGCTTGAAGTCAGAACCTCAGGAATCCAAGCTCTATGCTCTAACCACTAGGCACTAGGACTGTAAGATCTGGTTGCCTGGTAAGGGCCTTGAGGTGACATGGGTTGTGAATTGGCGCTATAGAAATAAACCTGATTAATATGAACTGAATTCTCATTAAGCCTGAGAGCAATCAGTCCATCTGGCTGCGAGGTAATAAGGTCAAGGATCAGCAAGGTGAGCTTCCAAGAACTCAGTGCTTGTATAAACTATTGGCAACACACCTGCGCTTGATTGGCCAAGCCACAATTAAGCAGGTAGAAAAACAACAGTCTTAACAGAGAAACAAGAATAAAATTATTAATCTAATTTACAAACTAATCTTCCTAATGAAAGAGTCTGCAAAACAAACATTGTGATACAGGATAACTCGAAAAGTTACTTTAAAGAAAAGCAAACAAAGCATTACTCCAAAGAAAAACCCTCTAAATGGTAGAACCCTACAAGGTGATCAATGACATCATCTGGCCAATTTGGCAGAAAATACTGGAAAAAAATACCATGAATATACTTTGAAACGAAATACTGAAGTTCAACTAATAATCCAGAAGTAATAGCTTTAACCTAAACATATAAATAGATGGAAACTGCCACATAGTGCTAACACAAAGAAACCCGGGATATTGAGTGAAGCAAGTTGCAAACTAATGTTTAAATTTAAGCATTACAAATCAGAAATAAAAATAAAAGACAAGTGGTGAAAACAAACTGAACCACTTTGTCACACTGGCTTCTAAAAGTACCACCTCCCCCCCTTTTCCTGACATAACATAAAACCAGATAATAAACAGCTAAACTGAAAATAAAAGATAGATGGATCTACAGTAAGAACCGAATAGCACAAATGGTATCACAACATAGCTTCAAGTGATTTCCATTTAGGAAAGAAGATTTGAAAGTATCCAACATATAAACACCTGGACTACATTAAACTAAGTAGACTGTTGGTTCTCCTGGAAACTGAATTATTAACATGGAGAAAATAAAAACACACGTCCAGAGACCGTAAATAAAGATCTAATTATAAGATGTTTCAAGTGTTAGAAAATTGATCAAATAATCTTGAAGTTTTGTTGCAAAAATAAGGTATATCTTGCATGTTGTTTTGTTTTTCTTAGGGAGCAACAGGACAGCTCCTGGGGATAAGCGTTTTTCTCATTGATCAAGCAGTTTTTGGGATTCTAATCAGGGAACTATCAGGCCCCACCCTGACGTAAATGAACCACATACCCTTGTTTTTCAGGGTTCCGGTTTGAATCTTCATGGACATCTGTCTGTTGAAACTTAGATCCAACAGCTTAACCATTTAGTCATCCTGGCTAAACATGTTCAGGACGATTTCAGCTTAAAAAAATTATAAGCCGCTCTTTAAAAATAAGTTAGTTTTATTTAAAAACCTGTTTCTTTACGCTAGATTATAGTTTTCTGTGTTTGCAGCATATTTCAAACCTATAATTTAACACAGCTAGAATAATGAGGAAAGAATCAGAAACTACCATGTTGAAACCACATAGCTGTACCTGCTGTCCATGTTTTAAAATATAAGATAACCACTATTATCTGAAATGAGTACTAAGCATTAGTGGACATTTCTATCCCCAAATTAAATGACAATCTCATTATTTGATGCAATATTCTCTTCAGATTCCAGATTTGTTATGTACAGTTTCCTTTGTCTAGCTTAACATGAGTACAACAAAAATGCTAAAAGGAGGATGTGCAATCCTATGACATTAAACAACTGGCAGATCCTGAACAATCAGTGGAAGGGGGAAAAAAAGCAAACGAGTTTAGCAGGTAATAAAAAAAATAAAAAATATAAAATAGGCTTGAACTCCTAAAAAACCCTGATCCGTTGAGCAATCGGACTTAAAAACAATCTTAACAATTTAGGAGCCAAATCAAACTACCAACAAAAAAAAAAAAAAAAAAAAAAAAAAAAAAGATTAAAAGTTGTCACCCATTTCCACACCTTTATTTTTTACATTAAAAAACATTTATAAAATATATGCTCCATTGGCTACAGGGCTTACTTTGGGGTAATTAAAGTGAAACCTGCTATAGCAAAGCAGGTCACCCTTATGGACATGATCACATTCAAAAGTAAATTATTCAACAGTACAGGAAAACTGGGGCAGTAAACTAAAATCAAGCGAATGCCTAAGCAGGGAGTGCAGTTCAGCATTGTGCCACTAGATGGTGCCAATTGATCTGAAATTCACTTTCCTCCGCTGATCTCTGAAGATTTTCTCATTAAAGTAAAACATGTTACTAACTTGTTATGAAGTGTCTGGTCATGCTTAGTTAGCTACAGGAACATCTCTAGATCTTTGAGTTTTCAGAATCAAGGTTGTTTGGTTTTTAAAAAAATGTAAAATTTGGCTAAAATATAAGTTTCCCGTTTCAGTTTGATAAGGAAATGAAAGTTAAAAACACTTAAATTGCATAAAAACAAACAAAAGAATAAACTAATGTTATGGTTGAAGGTTTGTTTTGTTTACATCAAAAATAAAGCAAAGCAATGATGACTCAAAACTTGTAATGACGATAGACACATCATAGGGGGTAACCAATTATTTTATTATCAATTTCATATCAAATTTATGTTTCATAAAACTTTTTTTCTCAAATTGTGCCATGAAGGATATTACTGGAATGAAATGACCGAGCACTGCAATAAAACGTAAAGTTTGCTACATTAGTACAATTTTCCATTAAACAACTTCACAGATAAACAGAAACCAGCAGCTGCCTGCATCCACCATCAAAACAACCATAAGAAAAATAAACAGAAAAAGAAATACTCATGGTAGATAATAGGATGAAAGATCGGTGGAAAACACAAGTACTCTCAGTAAACATTAATGCACATTCTAGTGGAGAGTAAGGAAGATAAGTAAAAAAAAAAGTCCCCTATCAGAGCAAAAACCAGACTGTAAACACAAAGCTAGAATAGTTACAAAAATAATAATAATTATGATGATCAATTTTCTTCCAATGAAGCTGTGCTGCTTTTTTAGAATGATCAACACTCAAATGCTTTATGTTAATGTCAGGCCATTAAATGCCAGAAATTTAAAAGCAATTAGACTTAAGTTAAATGTGTAAAATACCGTGATTTAAAACACAGTCAATGGAAAATAAACCTTTTTAAAAAGCCAAAATAATGGATTTTTATAATCCAACGCCTTTTGTTTCTGTCAGTTATCCAAAATAAGCATCTTTTTTTTTTTTTTTTTGAAAACTTAATATCAATAGTAAAGCCTGTATGACACTTATAACTTACAGCAAGGGAAAAAAAACATTTCTAGCTTTATGTGAAAACAACCTAAATTTAGTGCAAAACAAATTTAACAAGCACTTTGTGAGAATGCTGGAGTTTCAGTTTCTTCAGCTGCAGTGAGACATTTTCCATGATCGTTTTTTCAGTTCACTGAGAGTCCAAAAGCCTCCATGCTTCAGTCTCAGATTCAACTCACTGTCCTTTGGACTAGGAGTCGGAGAAAGGAAAAAATAAAAAGAGAAACCTTCAGCTATCAGCTCACGTTTGGCTATGGCTTTTTTTTTTTTACGGCTGCCATCCGAGCCACGTTTCAAAGTAACCAGTCAGGAGGTGGAAGTTGGCTGGTGATCAAAGTTTCCTCTCCTTCCTCTTCTTCATTTTCAGTGCAAATCCATTAAAAATAAAAGTCTCTCAGAGCCATCCTGTCTCACGCTGAAGGAGCTATAAAAGTGCTTCAGTTTGCAGGGGACGTTTTTTTGCATTTCAGAAACTCAATAAAACAAGAATCTCAGTTAAAAGAGGAAAATAGACAACATACATTATGTACATTTTACATAAGCTCTTTTAAAAGTCCAACATGGCTGCCTTTTTAAGGTGGACCAAAGTGCTGTTGCTTTGCATTGTGTAAATGAAACGGTGGCTGTGCTGCTGCTAAAAAATAACCAACAAAAAAAATATATACACTTTCCTAAGAAATTCAGTAACAAAAACACAGCTCCTCTGATGGACCCCGACATACATGGCATGTCAGGAAGTCCTCAAACAGCAACACTGAGGTGTTTAAACATGCAGGCAGCACGTCTGTAAAATGGAAAACTGTACCAGAGCAGGAAACCTCTCCATAAATATTGCAGTGATTAAGGCCAAACTGGGTTCATCTCTTAATTCCTAATTTCTAGAATTTAAACCTCATTCTTTGCTCCAATTAGAATCTTCTTATTGAGGTCTAATCCTGAACTTTTAGCAGCGATTTCAGGTGAATGGTAATTTGCTCCCTGCTTTGGTTGATCTGCTGCGGCTCTTTTACTCCCACCCAGTGGCTGGGAGGTTTGGGTAAGACACTGGGTGATGGCGGCTCGCTGAACTTGGCTCCAGCGTAGATCTTTTCACAATCTTGGAGGTAATCTGCATCAGCAGAGGGACTGGCCGGGATGGTCATGTTGTTTGAGACGTTGAGGGGCTTTTTAGGAGTGCAGTTGTTGTGCTTTTTTGCGGAGGGGGAGCCGGCGGGCGACTGGCTCTGCTTGGGTTTGTGGCTCCTGGTGTTCACATTGTGTGGGATTTGATCATGTCTGGGGAGATGTCTGGGAGGCTGAACAGATTTAGACTTCAGCACCTGGAAAACAATTAAATACTATTAATTAAACTGTAATAAACACAAACCTCTTTACCCCATTTCAAGAAAAAAATAATCTTACTGCCCAATTAGACTTTCATATATCACCTATAAACAACATTTTACATAAAATCAGAACACCTAAATTCAATATTTATTGCTTTAGGTTTTTAAAATTTATATTTTTTATAATATTTCCTCAAACTATAACCATAAATTCCCTCACCTGAGTTTAATTTGTACATATTACAATATCGTTTCTTTAATTAAGTGTTTCTGTAAAAGAAAAACTTAAAATTAAATGGCTCTATAAATAGTTTCATTAAGCCTTTACAAACGACAGTCCCTGTTTTTAATTTCAAGCTAAAAATAATTCCCAGTATATCAGTTAAGACTTTTGGCTTTATTTTATCAAATGCATTAATAAAACCTGGGTGTTTTCTGTCCATTTGATGTAAAAAGAAATTAGTTTTTTGTTGTTTTTATCCTACTTTCTATTCACTTCTGATCTTAGTGCATTCATGCGTGCATCGAATCTGCAGGGGTAAATAAACATCACCTCTTTTGTTTCCAACACAAACTAAAGTATGATTTCAACAACCGTTGGGATCAAATTTTATGATCCATCAGCTCTGATGTTCAGTGCAAACGGCTTCTACCCACGTTCCGTTGTGTTCGCTCATGTACGCTCGTTTCTATGAGTCATCGTAATGACAGCAACCTTTTGCTCAAACTTTGGACACTTTTGTTGCAGCTTCAACCATGCAATTCTCTTCAGATCATGTACACACATGCCTGCAAATGAAAGCTTTAAGCAACACATCTCTAAGCAAAATAAATACACATCAGTTGTTTCTTTAGTCTCATGTAGTACTCATTGATTTTCTATTCAATCAAAATGAAATCTTAGAGTTGGGTAATATTTAGTGTCAGGGAAGCAGAACTGGAGTTGGAACAGGATGAGTGGTTGCGGAGGAAGATTTTCGTTAAAAAAATCATCCTTTTCAACGGTTTTCTCTGTTAATCATGGTTTGATTTTAAACACTCATTTCGAAATAGGTCGGCATTTTAATTACAATAGATAAATGTAAATCCATAAAATAAAAAAATTGTCAAAAACAATGACAGGTTTTCCCCCAAGTTGCTGTTTTGATCCTGCAGCTCTGTGTGACGGATGTAAGAGCTGCTGGGTAGAAACTGGAGCAGAATGAATCGCTGCTATAAGACTAAATGATTCATATTTTTTGTTCACCAAGATTCAATTTTTGTAAAATGGAGATTTATTTCAATAATGCACTCCTTGGACTTCCATAGTTTAGAGTGAGATCAATTTGCTTCTTTTTGTTTTTAGATTTGTACCGAATACTGGTGAGCTAACTCATTGTGTGAAACCACTATCTGCAAGTATATAGTGTTATATTTTCATTTCTTGTTGTGAGAAATTATTTTTCTGCTTCAATTTCATTGCCCCTTAAATAAAATGTCCCCTCCAAGCGGAGAAGACTGAAAAACAAGCTAGTTCTTGGAAGCAATATTTCTCATTTAGTCTGATGATATAGGTGAGAAAAATTATTGATTAATATGATTTAGTGGGAAAACAAGTCAGAGATGAGCTCTTTAAGCCAAATTGTGCTTAAGTGTAAAAAAACAACAAAAAAAATGCCAAAGACAATTTTAAATCACCAAAGTGAAAAAACTATCCTGTAATGTATTTATTCCTTTTAGATCACTATATTTTTCTCAACACTAATGTATATTTAGTGACGTTGACAATGTAAAGTCAAATACGTGGGCATTTCTGTGTTTGAATCTAATTAAGTGAGTTTAAAAAGAATTATGAAGACCGAATTACATTGCCAAGAAAATATATACAAATAATGTAGAACTTTCAACATAAAACTGCTTTTAGAGCATTAATTAGTAACTACATTTGAAGATCATGAAGGCACCAAGAAATGTAAATATAATTAATAGACTACTATAAATTATGAAGAATATTTCAAGTGTATTTTTTCCTATTTTATATGAACTATGCTCTTATTTTATGGTGTTATCAAATATGTCATCAACTTTATCTAATTATAGGCAAGCTGATTCCTTGTGTTACACCCTTCAACTACAATGACGCATTTCTCCTTTTGTCTGGCAGACAGACCTGTTTGTCGTCTTACTGCAATCATCAGCTTAGTTAAAGTTAAAAGAAGAAGTAGGATTGGGAATTTCACTTATTTCTGCATCACAATTGCTGTAAATGAGTCAGTGAAATAGCCTGGGGCACAAACTGTAGTTTCAACAAGGCTACATTTACATCAAAATGCAATAAACACGTAATGGATGCAGGCGTAATAAAATGCAATAAATTACATAACAAATTAAACTTAAAATACTATATAGTTACACTTCTTTGACATTAGAAGTAGTCATCTATAAGCCGAAACGTTATAACATGTTTAAGTTTCTGAGCAGGTTTGAGGCCTGTAGTGGACTGATTTCCTTATTCTTACCTCCTTCTTGGCTCCTTGTCGGACATGATGGTGGTTCAGCACCGCCTGGTTCCCTCCAGGTAGGTGAGCCGCGGACTGAGCCGAGGTTCTGTGCCCTGAGGAGGCCGTCAGGGTGTTGTTGTTGTGGTCCGACAGCCGGATGTTAGGACAGTGTCTCGGGGCTTTCTGGTGATGGTGCACCGACTTCCTCCCTCCTTTCTTCAGCAGCGCCTGCTTCGTTTTACAGCTCTGTATCGGGTTGTTGTTTTCAATATTTCCTCTATTGGCTGGGTCACCGTTCGCAATAGTTCCGTCCAACATGTTTTTGGAGTGAAGAAAACATAAAACAGGCGGTAAAACACCCGATGTGGTCGAGTTGTTTTAGCTAACAACGTCACAGGCTAACAGCGAGCTAACAACTTGCCAAGTACCACACGACACTTTTTCTGTGAGATGTCGTCGAGCGGAGGATACGAAAACAACTTGTGTTCGTGAAAGTGATAAAATATCTGCGTTTCAGAGTAAAACTACAACTAAAACATCGTCCAATGACTTCTTTCTAAGACTCGGGTCAGTGCTAATCTGAGCTGAAGAACCAGAAGTAGCTTTTATATGGCCTAGTCACATGACTTCCTGTACTGGCTTTTCAAAATAAAGGTAGCTACTGTCGTTGGTAAACGCTTCAGAAATATCTATCTATCTATCTATCTATCTATCTATCTATCTATCTATCTATCTATCTATCTATCTATCTATCTATCTATCTATCTATCTATCTATCTATCTATCTATCTATCTATCTATCTATCTATCTATCTATCTATCTATCTATCTATCTATCTATCGAACCTAAATACTAGGACTAATTACCAGAACTATAAAATATTTAATTAAATATTTGGTTTAATTGGTTTCTGTCTTTTCACTAAAACTTTTTGCTATAAATAGTTATTATCAATATATGAATACAACCATTGTACATTCAGTCCCTGATGAATTTTGATGAAGCAATCTTTAATTAAGGGTAAATTGTGGTTTCCCAATACTTACTTGATGTTAGTAGTCCTAATGCATGCCAGCTGATAGATTAATAATCCTTCCAGTAATAGAAAAGGTTAACACAGCATACAAGATTTATTTCCTTCTAACATTCCAACCACTAAAAATAAAAAAACAGAGCGTTTATCTGGACCGGCTCCCATGCGAGTGCCCTCTAGTGGATGGAAAAGGTATTACAGATACAACCCTGCTTTCAGAATTACACTTTGGTGTTACCTGTTGCAGAAAGCTAGTGTGTTTTTTTCCCCCTCTGCTTTTGAGTTTAAAAACATCAAACATTTAAACTGAGTTCATCATAGTACACACTAGCAATGGGTGCTGTGAATTGTATGAAATCCTCCAAAAAAAAAAAAAAAAACATATCTATTTGCAGCCCTGTTGGTCTGTTGTACATTAGTGGCTCCTGTAGTTCTACTTCTCTTAAAATGTGGCTTTTGTTGAAATTAACTGGATAGAAACAGCGTGGAAATAAACATGATTAAAGTATTTTTTTACTTTTATTTACTTCCAAAGAAATTCTCAACAGTAATTGTTTGAATACAGCTGCAATAAGTACAAAGACAAATTAAAATTAGGAAAAACCATCAAACAAATTTTGCACCAATAATTAATTGTGAAAATATTAATATATATTAAAATATTAAACTATAACTATGTTTTATATATCATGGTGGAAAATTAACAAAGATAGATTTAATGAGGGATTAAAACAAGAAATCATATAAAATGCAACAGATAAAATACAACTATGTAGAGTGTAATAAATAACTATGGCTCATCCTTTTAAGTACTGCTAGAATAAAGCCCTATTTGCAAAGGATAAATAGTATCTGGGACCCCATGTGAAATGAATCACTGCCCTAGTCTGCTTTTAATGTGGTGTGTTCATATAGGTAACCAAAGATGAAACTTTTGCTGAAATTTACTGACATCTCCTGGAGATGACGTTAACATACAAAGTTTTTAATCTTACAGCACAATTCAATGAATGATGATCCAGAACTTGCATCTGATATTTCCTCCTTTCCTGCAGAAACAACTGTCTCACGTTTCATAAAACGGTACAAACAGTAGGACCCAAAAATTAAATAAATATTAAACTACTGTGCAGATGTGGTCCAAAATGTACAGAAACGTGTACAGTTTAATGAATCCCATGAAAAAAGTTGTATAATTATGCATTTACAAGTTAACCTTGACATCCCTGATTGCAAGATATTTTATTAATTGTAATATCTTTTTTATGTTAAATTTGCATCTTAACAGCATGCAGATGCAGTTAATAATAAACACTTTGGTCTGTATCTATCCAGTTTATGTTTAAATGTTTCTAAAATAATTTTTCTTATGAAAATGGCTAAAAGTAAAATCAGTACTTGTCCTGGGGCAACTTTACCACAGGTCTGTAATTAAGTAAAATCCCTAATATGTTTGCATTTTGAACGTAATTCTCTTAAGTACAGTATACAGGAAGGAACATGACATCATAGACTAGAAACATCCCACAGTTTTATTGTATAAAACATTACAAGCAGCTGAGCAGCATTCATAACATTCAATAAAATGTTTGTGAGAATTCTTACTACACTATTTTTCCTTTCAAATCCAGGTGTCCAAAAAACACTGACAATAAAAAGGTGGGCTGGTACTTTGTTGTCGTACAGTACATATTGTTAGTGCACAAAAGTTTTATTAACCGACTAATTAAGGAAGAAGAAACACAGGAGCTTTAATCTACTACAATAATAGGTTAATAGTAACTATTTGGCAAAGAGAACAAATGAATGTAGATGTTAGTCTCAATCTTACACGGGAGGACATATTAAAGGTTTTTTTTTTTTTTTTCGATACAAAAAATAGATAATATAAACAATATACAAATACAACATAAATAACTAAGTAATCCATCCCTGTGATTGTATTACATATCATTTGTCACAATGACCATTGAAGGCAAATCAACGAGACGACGAGGCTCCTGCAGGTGTTTGTTTCTTCGCGCGTTGGAAGCAGCGGCTGAGTTTAAGGCTGAGCTTCGGCCTCGGGATCGTCGTAGATGTAGCTGCCGACGCCGCCGGTGTTCACACCTGAACAAGAGGAGAACTTCAGAGGAACACTTCAAACTTCAGGGTTAAAATGAATTACAGCATTAAAATATTCATGATTTTAAACTACAGGGATCATTCTGAATCCCTCTGGACTCTAATCAGTTTTGTGATCATAAATTAAAATTAATAAAATACAGGGTGGTTATTCTTTCCTTGCCAGTAATAATAGTCGCTTTTTGCTTTGTATAGTTCAATCACACGATTCTTATCCAGATATACCTAAAATAGTTCAGTGCTTTATTGTTAATGAGTAGTTCTTTATATTAGGCAGTTAAAATTTCTCCATTCTGTTATCCCGATACTTGTCGTCATGGTTACGGATTGCTCTGCAAGATGGGCAGTCAGTATCCTCTGTGGAATCACTGCTACCATCTTATTCTTATTCGGAGTAAAATTTTTGTTTGTTTGCATGAAGAATTAGCAGATGTCTGCCAACACAACCAGGGTATTGGTGTGAGTTTTGGTTCTTGGGTTGATCCAGAATAGCCCAAATCTTTAAGAATCCATTTGGAGGAGCATCAGTGGTCGCCATGATAAGTGCTGTCCAAATAGAATAAATGAAAGCAGGAATCTTCCTATCAACAGTTTGGTTAGCAAAGAGAGGTTGCTACATTCCTGTAGCTATATTGTTTCCTACAATCCTTTGCATAAAAGGACATACAGGCCACTTAATGGAGTTGAAAAACAAAAAAGTTATTTAATGAGATGTACTGTGTGAGACATGCTAAGATTGTCGCGTTTGCAACATTTGCATAATTTTTGTTTTGTTGCATTTCTTTTCTGCAAGCTGCAGTGCCAATATGACTAACATCATCCATGTGCGTTTCCATCCTGTAATGATACCATAAGGCTGAAGTCAGTCAGGATTCATCACTGCATTCTGGAGCTCCTTTTCTACCCTGGATAGTGCTCCTATTGATGACCACATAAGAGGAGAATGGATAGGAGCTAAGAGCAGGAGGTAGGAACTATATCAGCTGGAATCAGACAGGGACTGTAGCCAAGGGGTGGCCAAAGGTTGGCTAAAAACATCTTTAACCTGTTATTGGCCACCCCCACTAGGTGATATAGGGTGGAAGTAGCAGACATGATGTCTACTTTTAGTGAATCCTAGAACCTCCACAGCAGCTGACCAATCAGTGATTGTGTCCTGGTGTTTAACTACATTCAACTTTAGGAGTGTACTCTGGTAAAACACCCAGGATTTAGCATTAGGAAGGTATAGTGGACATGTGAATTAAAAAAAAGACATTTAATAAGACAGCATATGTGTTAAATGGCACTTTTTGTATTATTATTTTTGGACTGATATGAGTGCACACATTTGTACATCCTATCTCTGTAGATCACTGTCTATGGCCCAATCCCAAACAATCCCTTAAGTAATACCCTTAAGCTATCGTGTGTCACTAAATCTACTTTTGAGCCCATTTTTCAGAATTTTGAGTGCTTTGATGTTTTTTTTTGTTTTTTTTAGTACTTTTGGGAAAATAAATGGATATTTTTTGTACAGCTTTGTCCTTTGCCTCACTGCTTGGTCCCTTACATAAGGCAACAAATCTTTTTTTTTTCATAGTAACATTGTTTGCTTATGTTTAACTTGGAAGAAACTTGCGTTGCTTAATTAATTATTAATAACTTTGCTAATCACCTGTATCTTAGGCAAAGGGCTTAATGCAAATATTCATTCACAGCCTAATTATATTAAAGATAAAAACATTCTTTATTTCACCCTATCTTTTAAGGACTGTATTGACTCACCTGCTTTTGTAACAACAGTAATCAAACACCTTTCCCTCGCAGCCCACAGACAGTGTGCCTCATTATTCCCCCTCTGACTGGGAAAAGTGTGGGCTTTAACATTGATTTGAAAATTTGCCTCATTAATGCTTCAGGTAAGTTTCCTCTCTGGTTCCATTAAATTTAGCCTGAGTTTGTCAGTGTTTTGATTTCGCTGGCTTGCATCTCCTCGTAGGCGAAGTGTTCTAGCCGGTTGCTTCACGTCAATTCAGCACCTCTGGAAACAGATATTTCCTTCTAAAACTGAGGATGGTGGCAGTGATACCTTCAAATAAATGTCCTAACTAAGTTGACTTTTATTTAGAAAATTAAACATTAAGGACCACAACAAATTAGTTATGTATTATTTACATTATTTAGTCATATTCAAACTAGTAACTACAGAATAAATGCTTTTTTAAGAACTAGATTGTGTGTATTATGGGGAGAAGGGGAAGTTATGTGTCGCTGCAAGCGATCTTAGTTCTCTGTAATGAGAAATAAAGAACTGCTGATTAATATATGTGTATTTTTATTATCAAGGTCTTCGTGAAAATAAAGTCTGTTTTCATTTAATTGGAAAATTTGGATTTTGAGCTTATTCATTTTTGGTTCAATTAATGCAGATTGACCCTGAACTGGTTCTGGTCTGTACCAGTATAGACCCCCCTCAGTGACCAGTGGTCTCTTCATGGGCAACAACATGAGACCTTTCTGTATCTGCCACATCCTTTTTACACTCTGTGCTTATTCTAGCACCTCTGTGACACAGAACACTCATCAGTTCACTTGTTCAACAAACATTGAGCAAAACTCCCTTTTACCAAGTTATAGTAAACTTTAAAAGCTGTAAATGAAAGTTCTACATTTTGAATTTTAGACTTTTGGTGGTTTTAATTTAAAACTCCTCATCAGAACCATAGAATCATTTTACCTTTGGGTCCAAACAGCACAGCGTAGCAGGGTTTGTGGCAGTAAGGCTGTCCATCATGCTGCAACAGGAGAAAAAGAGCTTAATTACTTTATAAATTAGTTTCTCTCTCAGAATATGCCAACTATACTAGTACTACTTTAAGTGCTAAGAACAGATTCAAATAATGTTTTTTGCACAAAAATCTGATAAAATGTATAAAAACAGACGCTTTAAAGCTCTTAGTTCCTGCATTTTATTTTGACCATTCTACATTGTGCTGTGATAAATATTTCTTCACATTGATTGTAAATCAACTTATAGTAAAACTAAAGTAAATATAAAGATAAAACAAATAATATCAGGTTTGGGGGTGGAGGGCAGTTAAACTTTGTCCAGCTGCTAAAGGTTTTGGATAGGCAGATAATTAATCTATTCTATGGAGCTATATTAGGGCCATGAACTTTGTTCCAAAACATTCAGTTATGGAACTGAAAAACACATTTTTTTTTTTTTAATTAACACATATTTTGAACAAAGGAAAATAAAAAGCTTTTTTTGAAACTGTTTAATCTGAAAGATATAAAAACTTGCAAAAACAAGTTTGAAAAAATGAAACTGAAAAAAAAAAAGATCTGAAACTGAAGCTTTTCAAGATTTTTTTCTTTTCAAAACTCTAAACAATGTTTATCGATTATGCTCTAAAGACATTTGTAATCCCCACCGTTCCTGAATGCAACATCTTTGAATAATCTGGCTGGGCGACTATACTGTCAGTCATTATTATAGAGCCCTTGTCCTATAAGCCCCGCCCCCAAACTAAGGGAGCAGCAGCTTTAACCACATAAAAAAAACTGAAAGTGACAAAAACTTAAACCACAAGAATACTTTTAAAGTTTTAAATTTTGCTTAAGTTCAAAATCTTCATTTTATTTAGCTTTTTCAATGTTGTTTTTAATCTTCAGAAATATTAAGATATTAATATAGGTTTCAAATCTTTTATTTTTATATTTTAAAAAATATTAAACAATTGTCTTCAGTTTCAAAAAATGTATTTGAAAAAACTTTCTGGTGCCAGTTTAGCTCCATATTTATGCACTTAAAGTTATTCAGTCTTTTGAAAACTGCATCCAATCAATCATCTGTGATTGCAGGATTTCTCTCTTGAAAATTTAAAAAATACTTGATTGATGTTTGTGCTTCTCTAAATAGTTTAAACAAAACCCTAGATGCCTTATTTCTGTTTCTACTGAAGCAAATCCCAGTTAGCTGTACAGCAAGCTTCATTTTTCACAGATTCCTACATTCTTCTAAAGATTAAACTCGTCTTGTTTGGCTGAATCCTAAATCCCAGCTGTGTTATTCTCCACCTGCAGCGTTCTTGTCTCACCTCTGCATGGCTGCCAGGAGCCAGAGTCTTACTGCACCTCTCGCAGCGAAGGCAGGGCCGGTGCCAGTTCTTCCCCAGAGAGGACACCTTCTCAGCTGCATGGAGAGACCACCATGAAGACAGTCACCATAGAAACCAGCCACTGAGTCACCAAGACCCCTTTCTGACACTGATATGATACATGCAGATATTAGGAGACGTGTGAAATAAGGACACAGGTCTGCTCACCAAAGTACACCGTCTTGTTGCAGCTGGGACAGATGTTTGGTCCTCCAGAGAAAGATGAAAAGCTTGCAGCTGGAAAAATGTTATTTAGTCAGATCATCCTTTATATTTTGTTTAATATAAATTAAGTTTGAGTAAGTGGTGAATATATATTAGCTCTTTTCCATGTTTAGTTTTAGATAATTAATAAGAAACAAGAGTTTTTTTCAAAACTACTTTCTTTTCAAATTCCGATACGTGACCATTTTCTATTTGTGCTCCACATATTTCTCACCCTTCACTGGTCCCCGTGTGGGGGCTCGTTTCTCCTCCTCCGGTTTGCCGAGTGTTTCCATGGAAACGGCTGCAGGGGCCTCGTTGACAGGAGCGTCGTACACGTAGGAGCCAGCTCCGCCGATGTTCACACCTGCAGAGAACACAGAAAAAAAAAGGTCCTGATGCCAGCATGAATAAGAGAAACAAGATTCCAACAACAAATGTTATTAAAGATAAAACGAAACGGCACCTTTTGGTCCAAAGAGGGCAGCGTAACAGGGTTTGTGGCAGTAAGGTTTCCCATCATGCTGGATAACATAAGATAGGACAGACAAAATAAGTTTTTCTTTCAAAGGCTGAGTTAATAAAATGTTTATTTTTTCTAACGTTAAGTTCACATAATATCAGCAAATAGACGAACTGGAGCTTTTTTTTATGTATTATGACAAAGAGGATCTTTTCTGTGCTTTTCTTTTGTCAAAGCTATTTATACCAGAGGACAAAAAGAGCCCAAAAATGTATGGAGGATAAAAAGTGCCAAAATTAAATAAATTAATACAGCATTAAATAAATAATTTAATGTGTCAATAATTAATTAAATGTGGAATTAAATAAATAAATGTGTCATTAATTAATTAAAACCATGTCACTAATATAAAGTGCCACAATTAAATAAATAAATACAGCGATAAACAATTAATTAAATGTGTAATTCATTAAATAAATAAGGAATTAAATATATAAATGTGTCATTAATTTAATAAAATACGTCTTCATTTTATTAAAAAAAATATATATAATTATTTCAGTGTGCATTTAATTATTTCATGGTCCTGTGTCGCAGTGCATCGAAACCATTAAAAGAATCTGTCAAACTCACCCATCAAAGTTAGGGGGCGGTTATCTAACACCTGATTGGTCGCCCTGCACATTAAGGCGAAGCAAATCGATTACAGAGACTCGATTCACGTTAACCCCGCCCCCTAACTTTGATGGGTGAGTTTGACAGATTCTTTTAATGGTTTCGATGCACTGCGACACAGGACCATGAAATAATTAAATGCACACTGAAATAATTATTTATATATATTTTTTAATAAAATGAAGACGTATTTTATTAAATTATTGACACATTTATATATTTAATTCCTTATTTATTTAATGAATTACACATTTAATTAATTGTTTATCACTGTATTTATGTGTTTAATTGTGGCACTGTATATTAGTGACGTGGTTTTAATTAATGAATGACACATTTATTTATTTAATTCCACTTTTAATTAATTATTGACACATTTAATTATTTATTTAATGCTGTATTTATTTATTTAATTTTGGCACTTTTTATCCTCCATAAAAATGAGCCTCACTTCACTGTTTGCTCTGTTATTCTGCTCAGGGAAACCAGAAATATGACGTCTCCTGCTATCTGTTGCAAATTTTGTTCAGTTTATAGGAAATTAAACCAACTTGTCCATTTTATTAAAATGTATTAAGATTAAATTAAACATAAAAACTTGTTTACATATTAAAAATGCAGTATTTTCTGGATGACAAACTTGCAGTAATCCTAGTTTGTCATTCAGACATTAGTGGAATGTTTCCAACAGCGTGATTGAAGGAAATCAGGAATGCTGAGCCACACAAAGAACTTTTTTTTTTCACACGTTCAACGTCTCCAACAGAACATTCTGTTTTCCTTTCCTGCTCGTCAGGCTTTACTTTAGCACGTAATTAATCCTAAATTGCTTCGCTTGCATTGTTTACTTCGCTAAGTATGTTATGATTATTACACCATTCATGACTGTGAACGCCGTTATCAGCTCAGCATGATTCATTGTGTGCTACTTCAGTGTTAGAAGTCTAATAAAAACAGTGGAAGTTGCCGAAACAACAGCCAGACAGTCTGATAAATCTCCTGCTGAGCTGTTAATACGTGAGGCTTTTATAATCAACTTTTTTAGTTGAACTGCAAAGGGAAAAACCTGCAGTAGCAATAAAAAAAAATGGCTTGAAGCCAATTTTAATCAGTGCTGAACATCAAAACGTGTGACTAAGGATACCAAGGAATACACCTCAACAATCTGTTTGTCTTTATTATTATGATGTTTCTAGGTCACAAAATCTCCCAGACGGAGGCCACCCTTGTTGGAATCCCCCAATAGATCCAGTCTTTATCCAAAGTTAGCGTCATACTGTTTCCACCGTTTCCCTCTGCACGTCCCTATTCATCTTTGGTTTAAAAGTTTGATCATATTCTCACTTTTGATGAACATAATAAAACATCTCTGTAAAATCTGTCATCCTCACCTTGTTTCCCATCCGTCTAAATGTTGCAATAAACTAAATTATCAATACTCAAACGTTGTATCTGGATAATATACAAATTTAACAATACTAAAATCTGCATATTTTTGCCATTTCTAGTTTTAGATTTCCTCATTTTTTGCACATTAAAAGAATAATACCTCGAATAAGCTAAATTTTGTCAAATTGTGTTATACTGGGGGTTTTTATTTTACATTTGACACCATGTAGAGTGTTGATTTTATGTTTACACATGTTGATTTTATGTATACACATGCATATTTTTATCCTGTGCGGGCAGTGCTTTTATTTTATTTTATTTACTTTTATTTATTTGATCTTTTTTGTGCATCTCTTTGGAAACCTTGTGTTTATTGAAATCATGCTATATAAATAAAGTGGATTGGATTGGATTTATTTAAAAAACAGAATCTTTGAGATTCTGCTGAGAAAGCACGTTCCATGTTCAGATTAAAAAATGTGAGTTTTCCATGTAAATAATGTTTATATGCCTTTAATTATTTGTCATTTTTTATACCCATGATATGAAAAACGGTGTCAAATAGTGAATATTTTGTTGGGTATTTATTTCGAGGTTGAAATTTTAGTGCTGTCACAAAACTACTATGAACATTTCACTAGCATCACTAATCTCTGCTGCCATTCTATGCTGGCTACAGAAGCAAATCACTGCCAAGACCAACTTTTCTCCTTTATCATCCAACACTACATCTATACTCCCGACTATTTCCACACCACAGAAAATTATTATGATGATGAATTTTCCATCTTGTGGGGGAGTGGTGACCCAGTGGTTAGGGGCATAGAGCTTGGAATCCTGTGGTTCTGACTCCGAGTTCCACTCCCACAGACTGCCACTGTGGGTTTCTGAGCAAGACCCTTAACTCCACACTGCTCCCAGGACGCTCCAAGATGGCAGCCCACTGCTCCTCAAGGGGACGGGTTAAATTCAGAGGTAATTTTCTCCAATATGAGATCAATAAAGTTCTATTATTAATATTATTATTATTATTATTAAGAAAGGAAATTAGCAAAACATTGTTTTACAAAAAAAGTTCCTGTACCTCCCGATTCCCAATCATACTCTTAACAGTTGAAAAAAAATAAAAATCAGCTGCAGTCAATGACTGAATGAATATTACAAGAAAATAAAATAGAACCTCCATTAAATCATTAAACTACCACCATTAAAGTGTCACTATTTTAATTTTAATTGTTTAAAACATTGCTGTCTATGCATAAAAATATGTATATTACAGTTAATCATTTATATACGTCTTCCACACTCCCCTGCAATGACACTAGGACCCCCCCTCCCACTTTGGGAATCACTGGATTAAGATAACAATTTCACCATCTTAAAAGCTGCACTAGTGGCTTTTATCTTGCAAATAATAATTTCTGTCTCTAAGGTTTGCAGAGAGGAATGAAAGAGGGGTGGAAGACCTGAGACAGCCCCACCGAGGAGTAATGGCCTCTGTACAATTGTCATGTTCTTCACCCCCTCCACCATGACGTCACTCTGTCTCTCATGACTTTGTCACAGATCTAAAGTCAACAAGCAGACAGTCTCTCTGTGGTTAGAACCAGACAATTCATGCAGGTTTTCCTGTTTCCGCTCCTGTTTTAAAGACAGTATCAGAACTGCAGGCTGGAACCACAGAGACCACAAACATCCTGAACTAACAGTTTGCTTACAGTCTGCTGAAGGCCAAACACATAAAGCCCTTTCACATCAAACTTTTACCACAGCCTGAAGCATATGACTGCTACTTAAATGATTATCCACACAATCTGCAACAGAATCAGAACGTCTGAGTTCACTTTAAATAGTGCTCTCGTCATTTCCCTTCATATCTGAACTGGTCATGTATGAGAAAAACTCTCTAAAAATGCATCTGTGGCATCAGATAGTTGGTTAATAAACAGTTAATGACTCTAACAGTTAGGAATCCAAACAGAATCATCTTTCACCCCTTAGTGATACAAGATAATCAAATGACAAATACTAAGAAAAAAATGTCTGAAATGTAAATATTGGTGAAAAGAGTTTAAATAATATGAGAAATGTTAAAAAACTAACCTTAGATTGACTAAGTAGTCAAAGATTTCATTACCTTTTGAGTGTAAGATATTTTCTTACTTGTCATAAATATTCAGAGTATATCGTATTTCCTCTCACCTCAGCATGGCCTCCTGGGTTCAGCGTCTTGCTGCAGCGCTCACATTTCAGGCAGAACTTATGCCAGTCTTTTCCTAAAGACGACACCTTCTCCGCTGTGCAACAAGAAAACATGAATGATTTTCATTTGAAAAAACAATTGATCAGATTCTGGGTTCTAAATTATATTATCAAATTTGGAATGTCATAAACAAAATGAAGTTTTAATCATTTAATAACGTAATTCTGTTTTAATGATAATTTTATGTCAGAAACAAAAATAAAAATAATTCCAAAAAAAGTTAAAAAACAATCTACTGGACTTTGTTTTCAAGTTTGGAGACGTTTCGCTTCCCATCCAGGAAGCTTTTTCAACTCAAAATGTCAGAATGTCAGAAATAGCATTGCATTCGAGGTTTTATACAGTAGCCCAACAAGGACTTGTTTTTGTTTTGAAAACATGCAAATTGAAACGGACGAAGGGGTCCACCCCTTTGGTACGGGGGTCGTTTGGCTCCTTTTTTTAGTCTGCAAAGCCCCATACCTGTCTATGTCTCTGAAAGGCAGGTCGTGAAAGTGAAACTAAGGCCTTGTTGGGCTCTGTATATAGCCTCGAAATTAACGCTATTCCTGACATTTTTTATTGGAAAGCTTATGGATGGGAAGTGAAATGTCCTCAAACTTGGAAACCAAGTCACACATGTAATAGAGGTATATTAATTTAGGAAAGAATGGTACCTTGTTTGTTGTTTTTCTCTCCAATGTTTTAAAACATTGTTTTATTGTTTTGTTTTTTTCTCTTGCATGTTCGAAATAAAGAATAAAAAAAAAAATGTCCAGTGGATAGTTTTTCCCCCACTTTTTTGTAATGACTAATACCTGGATGACTGAGAAACTTCACCAGCAAAAACAAAAATCATCATAATGCTTGATTATTGGCACAGTAAAACATTAGAAACCTGTTATTATGCAGAAAAAAACCCTTTTTACTGCAGGTACTCCTCCGCAGGCGTCATTTCACCTCCTCTCTGAAAAGCCTCCATCATTTCAGTCCCTCATTCAGGCCTTCATCCTCTCTGCTTCTTTTGTTTCAACTCACCACCCATCCCACATTGGTTCATTCATTCCTTAAACTGTGAATCTTCTCTCTGGGAGGAGATGTTCAGCATCCTGCTAAACGATTTCCTCTCCTTCCGTTCTCTAAAGATTCATTCTCCCTCTGCCACCACAGAGGATTCTCCAATCATTTCAATATTACACTACAGCAAACCGTAATGTTTAGAAGACAAAGACGCAATGAAAGGAGGAACTCAAAAAAAAACGTAGATTAGATTAGATTCGAGGTTGCTGCCCAACCTCGAATCGAATCACTGGAAGGAAGTAAAAAGGTGGGAAAAAGATAACGAAAAGCACTCAGAGAATTGAAAAGAGTGATAAATGATTATTTCTGACCTTTTTTCTTCCACCTACAAGCCTCTTCCTGCTTCCCTCTTTCCCCTTCTCTACAAAAACCCATTCCTTCATTAGAGCCTTTAATCTCCACGTCTCACCTGTCAGAAGCTCATTACGCTTTATATCTTAGCTATTTGTGATTTACTTTTGAGAAGCTTTGGTTTTTAATGAGACAGAAGGATCTAAGATTAGCTGCAGCAGAACCTGTGTTGGACAAAACCTAAGCATCAATCTGCTTTGAATAACGGCGGTGCTGCTGTGTCACCATGTCGACCGTCTAAGTGATAAAAAACACTTAAAGGCCACTTACTGTAAGAGTCTGTATCAGTCTAAAGCGCATTCTTTCCACTGAGATTTAAAGGTCAACGTCATGAGTCACAGATTTCCATTTTCATAACATTTTATTCTATTTTGGTGGAGCTGTCGTCTGTTCCTCCCTCCGCCTCCCTTTACTGAAGCAAAATATTATCCTAACCCTTACTCCCACAGGGAACCTTCATCCTAATTAACATCTAAACTCCAGCCTGGGTTCAGCCAGTGTCTCCACTACATTTAGATTAGCCGTTTTATAAAACCTTGGCTTTAAAATGTTTTCTTTTCTATGTTCTGCCACTGAAAATACCCATTGAAGAGGCATTTGTTACAGATTGGGGTATTTTTCACCTCTGAACAACACAAACAGGTAGAAGTTAAATAAAAATCTATCTAAATAATGTACAAAAACCAGAAAAATTAAGATCATTTATCGTATTTACTAATCTGCTTTCAAGGAGTCAGACTTTATTGTAATCTTTTAAAGCTGCTCTATAAATTTTTCTTTAGACATTTATTAAATGATTTTATCCATTTTAGTGCATTTGACCAGAGCATAGCTGAGTTTGTGTCCTTAAAAAAAAACAGAGAAAAATGAGGAAGTTGAGGTTAGAGCAAAAAGTGTAAAGAGAAACAGCATCAGAAAAGCATTTCTGTGAGAGGAAGGATGAAATAAAACTTGGCAACTTTCCTAGATGTGTCATCCTTTAGTTGAGTCTCTCTTGGTCTGTGGGGTTAATTGTATTATTTGGATACATTTTCATAGATGGAAAAAAAAAAATCTAAGAGGAAGTTTTGATCACAACAGATTAAAAGTAACAAGGTACCAGAAGATCCAAATATATTTATTTCCGCTGGGTTATCTCTTAAATGTTCAAATACTGGAAGGGAATGGACAATCTCAAAGGGTTAACAAGTCTTGGTAATTTTTATTAACCTCAGAAATACTGAAGAATGTACTTTTTCAGGCCATGTTAACCTATTTCATTAACATAAAGCTCTTTTTCATAACCTTTTTTGTTTAAATTAATCAAAATGTCGCCTTATTCTAATTTTATTCATCAACTGACTTTATTTTAATTCAGTTCAGTTTAAGTTAGTATTACCGATACCCGATACCTGGCTGTGAAGTATTGGCTCGTACCGATACCATCTGCTTGAAATTGATGTGTGTGTGTATATATGAAGAACTGCATAATACTTGGATGTAAAATAATTGCCATCATGGCTTTGTCAAGCTGCTGCCTACCTTTGTGAAACAGGAAAAAGACTAATACAAAGTGAATCCAGTAGAACTTTTTATTTCCTACCTGGAATGGGTGACAATAGTTTAATAAACTTTTGACTTTCAAAATGGTATCGGTGACCTATTTGTTGGTACTCGCCGATACCAATACCACCATTTTAGTGCTGAATCGGAGCCCTGCCTGATACTGGTATCGGTGCAACACTAGTTTAAGTTTATGGTTACAACCAAAAATATCAACTTAATTAATTCAAGTTAGTTTATTTCTATAGCTCCAATTAACAACACGTTAATCTCAAAGCACTTTATCGAGACAATTCAACCAGATCATCCAGTCAGATTGATTCAAAGTTTACTACCTAAGGAAAACCAGTTGATTGCTTCGACTCATTGACACAAAGGCAATCCCTCACACTAAGCATGATTGTAGCGACAGTGGAGAGAAAAAACTCCCTTTTAACAAGAAGAAACCTCCAGCAGAACCAGGCTAAGTGTGAGCGGCCATCTGTCAAGGCTGACTGGGGTTCAAGGAGACAGAGGCAGACATAGAAAAAGAAGCAGAGATACAAAGAAAATTGTCAACCAGCTCCACAGGCGGCCCCGTCTAGGAAACATAAAACCAGGCAGATCCAATGTCAGAGGATGAAGAGATCACATCCAAAATCAACCAATGAGATCAATTTTCAAATCTATTGCATACTTTCCAATTGATTCATGTTATTAACCAATATCCTTACTTTTTATTATTCAAACAGTGGATTTCACTTTGCCTGGATGAACATTTAACAGCAGTGAACATTTGGGTTGTCGTCTTTGCAGGCAAACTGCAGGGGTGGTTGGTAAAAAAAAAAAATGGATAAAATGAATAAATGATCCAGTTGAGATTTTTGTTAAGTCTAGATTTAGCCTTGCTTCCAGTCTCAATGCAAATCCATTAATAGATGTTTATAAAAAAAAGTAACATATAATCACGGCCTAAAATCTATTGTTGTTGTGTTATGCTGTTGTTTTCATACGCTTACATAACTTCACCTCTAAACCCTGACAAGACAAAGAGCCCAAAATAAAACCTTTGTTCAGGCTCAATGCTTCCAGTAAGGAAGAGTTCGGTCAGAGAGACAGATGGATAGATGGAGAGTGAGAAGCTTTCTAACAATCCTTTATCTGTTTTTTCTCCTCCCAAAATATCCCAACAGATACACTGAGCCTGATACAACATGACACTTCCTGTTTGGACTCAGAGGCTGACCAGCCTGTCAGGGTGATATGTGACAGAGAGTGGAACTGCCACACAGAGAGCACTGTGCGCTGCTGAAGCTTGATTTGTTTCCTATAAGTTCTCTGGCATTTTTCATAACTTTTTAAATGTATTAAAGCAGAAGAGATTTAAAGAAAGTCTGTTTGCTGGAAAAATGTTCATTACCAGATTCTGAGTTCTACCAATTCCTCTTTCAATGGTGAAAAAAATCACTTTATTTGCTATGTTGATTATTTATTATTGTTTAATTATAGGGGAGTCGTGGCCTAATGGTTAGAGCATTGCACTTCGAATTCAGAGTTTCTGAAGTTCGAGCCCCACTCCCAGACTGCCACTCTGGGTCCCTGAACCAGACCTTTGGGCTGGTTACCCTACTGCAGCAGTCTGTCGCGGTTTTTGATTTATGCCCAATTTTGAAGCATGGTCTGAGCTATCTTATTCTACGCCACAATGCGGGACAGATAATCACGAACAAGCCGTGGGTCTAGATACAGCCGAGGCGGTGAGGAAATTGTGTGACAACAGAGGGACATGAGGGCGAAAAAAAGCGGGGATCCAGGTGGAAAAAGGGTCCCATTGTTCTCGCGGACCTTGTTCTTCTAGCTGGTCCAACTTCATGAGTCGTTTTCCATAATGGCAGTCATACAAACAAAACAAGCCGGTAAGGTACCAAACAGGAAATACGCATAGAGTAGAGCAGATGTAGATTTGACCAATCAGATGCCTCCTGTCTGCAGCACTGTCTGCGATCACCTACAATTTGGGAGAGGTGCACCAGAGTGTCTGCGGAAGGGGGCGAAGGCACATTTGCATTCACCTCGACACACGCATACAACCTGGTTTCTGAGTATAAATCAGACTTTAACCCCACACTGTTCCCTGGGCGCCACACAATGGCAGCCCACTGCTCCAGAAAGGAATGGATTAAAATACAGAGTGTGCATTTTGTTGCTCTGTACTTGTGACAGTCTAATGACAAAAAAAATAAAAAATGCTGGGGGAAAAATTGAACCACAAGTAAAAACATTAATTCCACCTTATTTTTATTTTTTAAATTTGTTTTTTTAAATGACACAGAAAATAAAATTGACTAAAGTAAAATGTGTTAATGTCCATTACAGCGCTGCTAATGATCACAGAGAAACTAAATGAAGCTGTTACTGAGTGACAAATGCTGCCTGCTTGATGCAGTTTATATTTGTTTTAGGATGAAGATGATCGGAGACATTAGTTTAAATGCTAAATGTTTAATGTGGGGCTTTAAAGCTGGCAGCAGACTGGTTTGATTCAAGGCTGCAGTTTGGACTTTGGATGCTATTCTCCAGGGAATTCAAAGAGAATGAACAAAAGGTCAAAGATCCATAAAAAAAATGACGTGATATTACTTAATAATTTACAACACTGTCTGGGTGTGGCTCCAAAGCTCAGCTCAGACTGTAACTACAAATTAGCTTTGATATAAGAAACAAAAAGTGATCCTGCTCCATCAGAACCATATATACTGATTCTATTAGAACTTAATGGAAAACATGGCTGATCGTTCTTGAGCTTTTATCAAAACACAGGCCTGTTAATGGCTCGCTGTAATCTTATCCACAGATAGTGGAGCCATTACTACCAGATCTGGGCTGCACTGAGGCAGAGCAAATCATCTGTCAGCGTCTGTGAATCTGCAGCCGAGACGTTTTGGATCCGTTTTGGAGAGGAGCTGCCACTTTCACTTCACTTCTGATGCATCTGAAATATCTCTGTCTGACATTTTGTTGTACAATTACACAATCCCTTCCATTATGATCACTGAGCGGCTCAAATGACAGCCTGAATGCTTCTATAAAAAAAAATAACTACAGGAGAAGAAATGTTTTAGTCAGCCTGAAAATACACGTAAAAATGTATAATTATATAAAAAAGTATAATGGAGGATTTTTGCAAATTTGTGAAAAGACCCTCCCTCTCCACTTAAAATAAAAATGCACATGCACAACCCTATACCTGCTCCCTAGAGGGAACGCCTATTAAACATGTGTGAGAGCGCGCACGAGCTCATTTTTTCTCGTGCACGCTCTGTTTTAAAACTTGCTGCTTGCATCACTCATGTAAGCTCCAAAAGAATATTTGCAATTTTTCCACTAAGTCAGACTCACCATCAGTAAGTGAAAATGGGGGACAAGCACGTAGGACGGCCTTATGTAAACATATCACCAGAATGATTAACAATTAGGAGGACCACTTATTTTGATGATCCACCCAGAAAAAGAACATCCTGCACCGTACCTTTAAGAAAATAAGCTTCTGATGTTAAATGCCTTTAGGAGAGCGTGACCATGCACATAAATATTCCTGATATGAATATTCTGTGGGAGGAGCGGGGCTGAGAAATGACTGGTCTGATTTGCTATGATCAGCTCAAATCAAAGCCATAAATCACATAAAGGATGAGATAAGGTTCTCTATAATCTATGTTTATACTTTTATCATGTTTCAAAGAATGAAAAATGCAAGAATATAACATGCAGGAGAGCATCGTCTTTAACAGTTTGGAAAAAGGAGCATATGCCTAAATTATATGTTTTAAGTTATAAATAAATTTATTACCATACCTTTATTTCAAATCAATTATTAATATAATTAAAACACTAAAGAGTAACAAATCAATCAAAAAGATTGGTATTCAACACTATAGATAATCAAACAGATGTTTTATTTGCATTTCATACAAGATACCATGAAGGTAGCAGACAAAAAATAAATAAATAAATAAATAAATAAATAAATAAATAAATAAATAAATAAATAAATAAATAAATAAATAAATAAATAAATAAAACGCTGTGCTTAATGATCTGTCTGTTTTAACTCACTGCAAACACATCCTATTGATTAAAATAAATAGTTTACGCCTCTCATTCATATTAGCAGAGATAATGTGACCGGAGGCCAGCTGTTCCACCCACCAATCAACGCCCCCGGTCCGGATCAGCGGCACTAAAAGACGCACTCACCGAAATACACCGTCTTGTCGCATTTGGGGCACTTTGAGGCCATGATGGGAGCGGACGGACAGATCGGAGGGATGGATGGACGGATGGACGGTGCTCAGTCTGTCCTCCGGCTCTGTCTGGCTTTCTGTCTGCAGCTCCGGTGGAAAGGACACACCTCTCTCTGGATGTTCCTGCTGATTTAATGACGATGAGGAGACTCTCATCCACTTCTACTGGCTCCCCTGCAATATATAAACTCCTCCCCAGTGTTGACGTCATGGTTTCACTACAAGAATGAGACAGAGCTGCATTCATGTCAACGGTTTCCATAATTAGGACACTGTTAGTTTTTTAATCACCCTGGAATCTATTAGGTGAACATTTGTTTTCTGTGATTAAATCTGCATCCAAGAGCTGGAAAAGTTTGCAAATCTATGTAGCCTACTTATCTTTTAATGTAAGACACACAATTTGCAGTTAGGATATGCATCTACATTTTTCAATTCTAAAACTTTTAATTGCTTCAACATAAATAAAATAAAAAATGAGATTGCCAAATAGATGGCTTTTGTTGCAAGATAATTAATATTTTAGTTTGGAAACTATTTCTTTCATATGTATTTTTCTTTTCATTGTTATAGTGTTTTTTTTATTTGCTTGAAGATGGTAGTGGCAAAAAAGTATTCAACTACTTGTTCCAGTTAAATTGAAATTAGATTTCACTCAGTCAACACTTTATTTTGATCTTTGCAAATAGAACAGTTCATCATACAGCCCTTATTGCTTGGTAATCAGACCCGTTCTGCCTGGGCAGCGTTCGTTCCCTCTTTGTTAGAGTCAAAACAAATTACAGACACTTTGGTTTAACAGTAACATGTTATGAATAAACCTTGAGAAAGAGTCTGGCTTGTTATGGGAAGAAGGTATGTCTTGTCTAAAAACACCCACACACAGGGGAATTGTGTGGCCTTGCAGGTGAAACGGACTGAGTGAAAACTATTATAGTGAGTAAATAGCATAAACTAATATATGAGATAAGAGAAATAAAATTTTCCAACCACAAGATCTACAGCAGTTAGCTGTGAACTATTCACATAATGTTTAATCTATATTATTGTGGCAGATAAAGAGTCCAAACCAAGATTGCCATAGTGGGCTAAAACAAGGGGGATTGGCCATTGATGATGCGCTCCAAGCAATTTGCTCTTGTTTGGACTATTTATTCCAGTGTTTGACAACATAAATGAGAAATACATTACTTTCTGTTGTTTGCATTGGAACCAAGATACGTCAGACAGTGCAGTTTTCTTTTGGACAGATCGTGCGTTTAGTTCATATAAAGCTTGATTAATGAGGTCAAGAGGGTTTCTACCCTACACTCACCCCACACAATATTGTAGACCCAACACCCCAGAGATGGAGATGAACATATGTGCCACTCCCACAGCGCCACCTCCAATCACCATGGAGCTGAGGCGTACGCACAGAGCGCATACACATACCAACTCACAGGCATGCAGGTCATTCATAAAAAAGGAAAAAATGCAAAAACTTTATTTGGGTCCTACATATATTAGGGGATTTTTATTTAGTATTTTCAATTTTTTGAATTTTTTTTTAGTATTTCATCATTTTTTTTCCCAATATCAAGTCTTAACCAACCAGCATTTTTGCAATTAATAGCACATTAATAGCAGGGCGTAAGTTTAGAGTTATAATAGCGTTAAGCTTAGTGTTTGAAACAGAAATGTTGCCAAAAAATGAAACAGTCACTATTTGGTTTAAATAAATTATCTTACGTTACTGACATATTAAGGTAATTTCACTTCTGTTATGTTTCTCTCCAACTAAAAGTAAAATTTTGTCATATCAATAAAATTAAGTGAAACTTGGATATTTTAGAAACAATATTTAATCATCTTTTTTAACCATGTTTTTAGTTGTTTGTCATTTTACTTTCTATAAGCTTATGAGAGCAAAATTCAAATGACATGCTTAAATACCTCCATGGGGCAAATGGGATCGAAAATGAAGACTTATATGCAATGAATATATGTTAACATGTTCACGACATGTTGCTCGTTCTGCATTCGACGGCGTGACCGTTCCGCTGTGTTTGTTTCCTCTCTGGTTGTTAGGTTACCTTTCCAGACAGTGTTACTCTATACAGGGAATGTTAAGTGATGATCTGCAGCTCCCTAGAATATAACTGTCTGCATTCTTGGCTCTGAGATACCAGGATTGCTCAAATATGAATGGCCCTTTGTTTGGAACCGAGAACAGTTACTAGAGTTACTACTTATTGCTCATACCCAATGATGATTATTTTGTTGAATTGAAAAGGCAATATTTAAGGAGGTAAAAATATACTTTTTGCTTGAGACAGGATGCCCTGTCTGACTTAGAAGCTTGATCGATATTCCCAAACCAACCCAGACATGTGGAATATTGTCTGGTGAGAAAAACATTGCCCTCGTATCCGATATACAAAATATATTCCTGCTGCATTAATCTGTGCCTGCCTGCACAGACAAGTTATTCCCCTAGAAATATATTACTACTATCATTTCTGACATTTAATATATGCTCTCCTGCACACATAGTCTCTTTCTCCATCCTCTGCCATTGGACTATTGCCTGGTAAATGGTCATAATGACAGCAGAAACCTTTGTATGACTTTGTACCTGACTTCAACACACGTTAAATACACTGCCCTTTCAATCAATTTCAGGTTTGATAAATAGCTTTGTGGCTGGTATTTACATTTTGCCAAGTTATGTTACTAAAAGAGGAAATGAATGTTCAAAAAAAGTAAACATGCAAAATGGTTCAGAAACTCTGTTCCACACATTTTACACAATCAGTATTTATTGCACTTGTTTTAAAGATCTGCTTTGTAAATGCTTACAAAGATGCACATCTTTGTAGACATTCAAAGCTTTTAAAGAAAAGGCTCTTTATGTAGAAGAATGCCAACACTGCTCAACACCTTGAAAATACTAATGATGCATGGTTGTGAAAGCATCCTACTTAGGGTAAACTGTTTTTTTATGGTAGCAACATGGTTTTACAGCCTTGAAGCTTCAATGGAATTCCAAATTAAAAGTTACCACTTGATCACAATAGTGTTTTAGAAAGGCCTTGCCATTCTGTAGGAAACAAGGGTACTGCTCTAGACTGGCAAACCGATTTCAGTTTGTTCAAGTTAATGTTAAAGATAAATTAGTCCCAATCTCAATTTTCTCCCATTTAAGCGAGACAGACAATAATTACTTAAAAAGGATTTATTGAATACAATGCGGATGGCAGAGAAAAACACTGATGAAGGATGATTATCCATGCGAGTCACTTACCTGGTTTGACAGTTCAGTCCACCTCCATAGAACGCGGTAGGATCCAGACGGAGGCCCGCCAATTAGATGCAGTGGGCACCGCCCAGAGTGAACCAGATGCTGCAGCCCTGGAGGGCAAGCAGGAGTCTGAGCCAGAGCAGGGAAACTGATCAGAACAGGAAGGCTAAGAGGTCAAGGAGTCCGAAGCCCAGATAGGGATGCCGATAAGAACAGGAACAGGCTGGTTCAGGGTTCCAGGAGCACTATGGTACACTAAAACCTATGTTCTCTTTGTGTTTTCTTTTATTGTGGCTTCATCTAGCCTAGTCGTGTTTGGCTGTCACCATCCTTGAGGTGAATGTCAGTAGGGCTGCTGCTATCAACTATTCCAATAGTGGATGATAGAATAATGCATGCTTTTCAGTGCTTTGCCCTGATTCTCTTTAAAACATAGCTCTGCACTAAGCTTTTACTGTGACTAACTGTATATCTGCTCTTTTATTCATTTTCACGTTAACCTGTTAAAGCTCATTTGCTTAACTTGTTCTTTCCCAGGTAAAGCCACCCGTTGAGCTAGTTTACTGTAACCTTTTCTGATGTACAAGGTTTTGATGGATTAATGCCTCTATGCTCCTTTGTATGTCTGCTTCTGTTCCCCTGCACCCATTATTTGGCAACGGCTGAAGGCTCAGTGTAAAGAGATTGCTGACACAATGCAAGTGAATGTTTACACTCCAAACATGAGTTCTGCAAAGTCAATGACTTGATGCAATTAGCTGGTTTCCTTAGATAAAAAAACATTTTACCAATCTAACTAAGATCTGATGGGACTGTCTCTGTAAAGTACCTTGAGATGTCATGTGTGTGAATTGGTGCTGTATACATACACTGAATTGAATATGTAACATATGACAGTTATTAAAACTTTTTGTTTTGTTTTGTTACTTGTTTTTACAAAATATCATCCTTTAGCAGTGAGGAAAATTATAACTACCTATGCCCACACAACCATTTTAGTTAAACGTAGTGGAATTTTCCACATCTGTTAATATCACTGATCTTATGTCATAGTTTTCCAAATAAGGAGTGTTTTTCATATTCCAGAACAAGACTGTGAATGCATCATGAGTGAAGGTTGAAAAATGTCTCACAGAAAAAGCATAACTGATAATAAATAAAGATTCCTGCAATATTATTAGTAAGATAAAAACACATGCACTGTCAGTAAACTGGGTCCTCTATGACCTCCATAAGGAGTTGTCTTAAAATAAACACCCAGATTGTGTTTGTCTGTATGTTTTGGCTCAGAAACAACGGGATGTCATGGCTGTGGGGGTGGCCTGACACCCTAACAGCTTCTGTTTCATATCTGCTTAAAGAGATTTAACATTTCACTAAGCAGTCTGCAGTCAGACTGAACATTATCAGTATTATATTCAAGTACTGTAGGCTACTCAGTGTTTCCCAGCCAACATCACTGTCTAATTTCAACCAGTTATGATGACATACAATTTGATCCCTGGGGAAATTGTCAGTTTGGAGATCCAAATTTATTCTCCAACAATATTTTTTTTGCAACATTCCTTCGTTTTTGTATCCAGAAATTAAACAAATCCAATGTATGCAGTTCAGCAATGGTACAACAGTTGAGTTCTCTTAATAGTTCACTATTTAGGCTTATAATTTAGAAACATGAGCATGGAAATGATAGATTGCACTGTTATAATTTATTTTTTTTGTCCTGTGAATGTGTGAAACAGCAAAAAGGCAAAATGGCCGCCATCCTTAAAGGATATTAAGGGTTATTTTTACGACTCGCTCCGTTTGGGCGACAACTAATGGGAGACCATGCCACAAGTAAACATAATCTAACATTTAAAAATGTCAATCAATCAATTTTACTTA